TTTACGTATTAAAATTGATATAAGTGTAAAAATTCTCATAAATTTAGAAGTAAGATGATTTTTATGAAAAATTAAATTTTTTAAAATTATACTTATGAATATTTTAATTTTTTTTTTTGCTTGTTAACCTGTATTTATGTATACTTATGACATCTTTGTTATGTATCTAAAAATTCTATGTGCATTCGTGTATAATTGTAGTTATTGCTATGAATACCGGTATTACCAATAGTTTTAGAGCAAAATCATGGTATGTTTGTACCTCATTGACATTTCGTGTTCAAATATAGACTTGTTATGTTGAACATTTATAAAATATCACTCGTCAGTTCAATTTGTACAATCAATATTTTTAAATTTCAATTTATTCAAATTAGACTTAAGCATTAAGTTAAATTTGTCAAATATCTTTACTTCTCAGGAAGAAAAAAGTATAAAAATTAGTGTAAATTTAAAATATTATTAATGAGAAACGTCAAATTTAAACCAATTTTACATACAAAAAAGAATTTAGTTCTGCAATCGTTTATACAATAAACAAATTATCTGCTTACTGCATCTATTCGCGTGTAACACAGTGTTTGTTAAACAACTTTAAATGTTTTTTGGAAGTTATAAAATTGGTTCTCTTTCACGTGTCTGCTATAGTAATTTTTGCATTTTGTTGTTTGGAATCATATCTTTGACTTTATAGCTCTGCATTTGATTTCTAATTGAAGATGAAAAAAAACCAAGAAAAGCAATGGAATGAATCATCTTGTTATCATAAAAAAATCATCTACATTATTTGATAAATGTTACTCTCAAATTAAATGTTATCTCATAATAAAAAATGTCGAATAAAATTAAAAAACAAACATACTGTAAGTATTAAAAATAGTTTTTTACAGTGAGAATAAATTTGCGTTGCCTACAATTTTCTGTTGTTATTTGCTTTATTTCTGACACGATGTAAGACATTTTACAGTATGTTTGTACTTCATGCCCAAATTGAGTTTCTGACAAATGTTTCATTCATAATATATACCTTCATATCAGCACCAATGGGCACCACAAAGCTCAATATCTTTCACGAGTTGTACAATGTATCGTGCTTAAAAAAATGCTTACCGGCACAATCTCACAATGTACTAATTTTGGTTTTATACCAATAGTAATGATATACAAAGGAATATTGTTTTGAGATTGTGACACAACAACTCTTTGGATTCTATCATTTCACATCGTTTTGTCCGGAGATCGGCTGTAAATGTAATGAAGAAATTTTTTTTTTTTTTTTTTAATTTTTGTATCCGTAAACTTGCCTGTGGATCGCAACTTTGCCTACATGTTCGGCGTTTTTGCGTTGCTTGTTGCAGAACAACTCGACAATGCGACCATCTCCGCCCACACACCCTTCATCACAGCCATCTCCCCAGCACCCCCAGCCACCCCCGCCCCCACACTCGCAGATGATGTCCAACCAGGTAAGCTTTCATTCAGCAAGTCCTAAATAAATGCCTATACTACACTCATTGATCATTGCGCTGTATCGTATAACTCTATCATTACTTTGCAATCGTATCATTAATCTTACATTTCGTTTCATTTTATCATCTGATACGTCGAATGATTTATAAAATAATATTTGTTTGGCACTGTTATAAATATATCTAACCTGTTGTCTCTCATATGAAAATATCAAAAATATTTGTAAATAAATATATAGGTTTTATGACGTTCGGTGTAGTAGATATTTCACAGTATATCATAATATATATCTATGCTAATTGCTAACACTGTAATTTATCACAAGCTGTCACATATCGTTTTATAATATAATCATTTGTCTTGCTTCTTCCGCTGTTACTTTGTGCATTAATATTATAACTCACGATATTTTTTTTTTTTTTTTTTTCATGAGCTGAAAAATTTTACGGAATTCATAGAATATGCCAAATGAACAAGTATATTTTGTTAAAGTTAAAAGTTAAAAATTACCTCCG